CATACAGTACATACTGTAATGTACATCATCTCTATCTTGATAGTACTCCTCTGTGGTAGCATAAATATGAAGCTTTACAATCATGTAACAATGTCTCATCAATGCCACTGACATCCTGCTTGTGTTCCTTGGTAAATAACCTATTCTTTCACTACTCAGTTCTCACTAAAAATCAAACCACACCCTTTGAAACACTTGCAAAAAATATTATTACTTTTGAAACATAGCATCTAGAAAAATGAAACCATAAACAGTCTATATAAGAGACCTTAATGAATACACTCAAAGTAGTAACTTGTTCATACCTGGTGCAGAAGTCTCAAAAAGGTGGTTACAAAATTAATATTAAAAAAACTAGTTTTTGGCTATTATCTCAGTCATTTCTCATTACATTGACACGAGAATAGTTTCAGTCCATGTAACAAACAATACACTATTATGATTCCAAGACTTACTAGCTAACTCCGTTCGCCGAGTCTAGAAAAGGTGGTTACAAATAAAAATGGAGGTCTTCTAATTTTGTCATGTAAACATGAGGCCTGTTGACAAAATGAAATGAGAATATATTTATTAGGTCTACTGAACAAAACAAAAGACCTATATACCTTCTTTCACAAAAATAAGTGAGTCAAGAAAATTCTTGAAAACATAGACAGAGAGAAAAGCGCCAAGGATAGAGCTATGCTGGTTATGACGTTTACAGGTGAACTTCAAAGAGTTAATTGGATACCGACTTCCTGTTTCATATCCATGTGTGTATGTAGTATCTATGCTTGGATCACTTTTTCCGTTCCGTATCCACACCTACCTGTACTTTTAATTGGGAAGAGGGAGTGTCTTGCATACGGAAAGGTTGTTCCGTGATCCAAGTGGGCTGAAATACGCTGTACTATTAGTAACGCGGTAGCGTTACTAAGTAGGATTCACCCTCAAACAAAATGGCTGCCGTGACTTTTGCAGCCTTGCTATACCGGGAAAACGAGCTCCTATGCTTACCAGACTTTATAGAGGACCTTATCTTGACCAGAGGACTCCAATGGTACAACTAGCGTGGCTCTAGACCTTGTCTAAGCGAAAAGTCAAAAATCGGCGAACGGGCCATTTTGTTCAGCCACCTTTTTTCATCATCATCTTCATCAAGTCCTGTCAATCCAGTTGTCGGTGTGTATCTCAGTATCAGTTGGTGCTACAAGAATAATTCTTACACCAATCTACTCCAACAGTCTATGCGCAGGTCCATGTCCCATCAGATCATTCTTCAAGTAAGGAAAAAGTGATACTGTGACTGCTGGATCGAGCCATCTTAGCTACATGCCGCCATTTTGTTAATTAAAGAAGCTTGCCATGTGCTCCAAAATTTGGGTGTGGTCGCGCATGCTCAGATCTGCAGCTTTAATTTGGAAGAAGCAAGTTATTTTTTTACCAAGCTATGCTTGGAATCAACTTACTGCAATACTTTTAGTGGAGGTTTCCAGCTAAAAGAAGGTATTG